GAATAGTTGAAAGGTTCGGCGTATTTCTTGCGATCGAGCGGTATTTTATCGACAGTTCTTTTCAGGATAGTTGAGAATTCTGCTTTGATCCACCTTACGCGCATTTTTTCAACAGTCTTTTTCAGGATAGTTGAAAGATTCGGCGTACTTCTTGCGATCGAGCGGCATTTTCTCGACAGTCCCTTTCAGGATAGTTGAGAATCACAGTTGAAGTTTCAAGTAATCTTCATCGTCCTTGTGTTCCTGAGATCTATTTTATCATGTCTCCCTGGAGTTGCGTGAACGATCCTAACAAGTTCTGCAACATATGTGGACTTTATGCTACTAAAACCAAAAGAGAAACATTACGCCTTCTATCGAAACTGCTTACAAAAACTATTTCGGCTATTTTATCGTGAATGTAGACAAATCTTGGGTGCCAAACACAATTTGCGTAAGTTGCCATACAATATTAAGTCGTTGGAATAAAGACGACTCTTCGCAAAAATCGTCTTTCAGTTCTCCGATGATCTGGCGTGAGCCACATCATCATAGTGACTGTTACTTTTGTTCTATCGACCTGAAAGGTTTCAACAGTAAGAATAAATCTACAATTTTATATCCTAATGTCTCATCTGTTACTAAACCAGTTTTACGGGGGACTCTTGTCTGTGAGAAATGATCATCCCTAAAGAAAGCAGAATGTTTACCTACTACTTCCAGGAACCCAGACGAAATAAATGATATCGAGGTGGACGACGAAGATCCGCAGTCAGATGATAGTGCACATTTCGATACAATCGAAAGTCCTCAATTGTTTACACAAGCTCTTCTAAATAATTTGGTTAAAGATTTGGACCTGCCAAAAAATAAACCAGAATTGTTAGGTTCTAGGTTGAAAGAAATGAATCTGTTGGCTCCAAAAACAACTTTTTCTTGGTACAGAAACAGAGAGCAAGAATATATAAGATATTTCGCAGAGAAAGATGGATTGACTTACTGTCATGACGTGACTGGCTTAATGACATAATTAGGCTTGATATACGTCGCTACTGAATGGCGTTTCTTGATCGATTCTTCTAAAAGAAGTTTGAAGGCTGTCCTTCTTCACAATGGAAATAAATATGCTTCGATTCCACTCGCCCATTCAGTATATCTAAAAGAATCTTACGAGAATATGCAGATAGTTCTTGAGGAAATTAAATATGAAGATTATAAATGGCTCATATGTGGTGATTTGAAAGTAATAACTATACTTCTTAAACAGCAGTCGGGGTATACCAAATACCCATGTTAGATTTTTTTGTGGGATAGTAGAGCTACTACACGTCATTAGGAAGAATCTAAGTGGCCACTTCGCACGTCTCTGAAGCCAGGATCATACAACGTTCTCAAAAAACCCTTGTGTGGTCCAAAAAAAATACTTTTACCTCCCCTCCACATAAAATTAGGATTGATTAAGCAATTCATCAAAGCCCTTGATCAGAATGGAAAATGCTTCCACTAATCATTGGATAAATTCCCAGGATTATCTGATGCAAAAATAAAGAAAGGTATTTTCACAGGTCCGGATATAAAAAAGATGATGAAATCTGATGATTTTCAACAAACGATGACAAGAAAAGAGAAGGCTGCATGGGTGAATTTTACAGCGGTTGTAGAAGGATTTTTGGGAAATAGAAAAGTAGAAAATTATCACGTAGTCTTTCAAAATATGCTTACCAGTTTTAAAGAGTTGGGTTGTAACATGAGTTTAAAAGTACACTTCCTGAATTCTCATTTAGATTCTTTTCCTGAGAATCTTGGAGCCCTAAGTGAGGAGCAAGGAGAAAGATTCCACCAAGACATCCAAGAGATGGAAAGAAGGTATCAAGGTAGATGGAATATTAATATGTTAGCTGACTACTGCTAGGCTCTTAAACGTGAAGATGATGGTCTACAGCATAAGAGAAAGTCAGGAACCAGAAGCCTAGACGAAAAAAGGGAACGATTCCACAAATCAGAAAATTGATAACATTGAAGCATCTGACATAATGTGGTTAATAGCATTGCTATTGGGTAATTAGGGGGTTGCTAGCATTCTCATTGCGTTATTAGGGGCTTATTAGCTTAGTTCATATTCGATGGTTATTAGGGGGAAGTATATGGGGGGGGGGGCTATTAGGGTTGATAGGATTGCCATTGAGTCATTAGGGGCATTTTAGCATTGCCATTACGCTATTAAGGGGTTCATAGAACCGTTCATATTAGGGGTGTTATTAGGGGGTTACTAGAGGGGTGATTGCACTGTCATTGCGTCATCAGGGGGTTATTAGCATAGTTCTTATTAGGGGGTTATTAGGAGGGTGAGTTATTAAGGGGTTGATAGGATTACCATTGGGTTTTAAGGGGGTTGATAGCATAGTTCATATTAGGGGAGTTATTAGAGGGTTATTAGGGGGTTGCTAACATTGCCATAGAAATATTAGGGGATTATTGGTCAGATAAACCTGAAATTCGGGTTCATTGAATGCATTTTTTGGATTTTACCTTGACCTAACCTTGACTCTGAGCCGACCAGGTCAAACGTACTCCAGATTCGAATTTAGCGACCTCAAAAACCTATAGAAACAGTACCTGGACCAAGATTAATGGGAAAATCTTGATTTGACCTTGATCTAACTTTGACCCCTGAGCTAATCGGGTCAAATGAATCGTGGATTCGGATTCAACGACCCCAAAAACATAAATATAATGGTATTACCTTTTGCACTTTTGTTAACATATGACTTTTTTTCGTGGGGCTGTCATATTTGTATTGTTGGTACTGTTGTTATAAAATCGATAAAGTGGTGAACTTCATTCAATGATATCTCCACGAAAAAATAAGATTTGTTAAATTTGAAAAATGCGTTGGGAAGGGCAGAAGCGGTACTTTGAGATGGTTAGATTCGTTTTTAGCAAAAAAAATGTTTTGCGGTGTAATATAGCTTCTAAAACAGCATAAATACGTGTTTTTTGCACTGTTAGTTTAGAATATCTCGAAAATGTGACGTGATAGAGCAATTTTGATGCCAGGTTCGTGTTCAGCGAATCAAAAACCTTCGGAATATATTGCTCATGTTAGTGCGATATAAATTATGTTGACCTGTGTTATGTTTCAAACACTTTTTCGATGATTATCATTTCTGTAAGGAACTCGTTGAGTGATACATTTTAATTTACCAATAAATAGAAAAAAGAAAAAGATGAAAATTATTATGAAAAATCAAAATATATGTAGTATCGCGTACGATGGCTCTTACGTAAATATATTTATGTATCTACATACGAATATAAATATATATGTATAGATCTATAAATGATAATTATACCTCGTGTTATTCTCGTGCTTATTTTTAAGAGATATTTCTCGCCATTGTGGTACTATTAAAATAAAATGTATTAAACATATTTTTATTTGTCATAAATTATGTTTGAGCTACAGATATATTTTATCAAAAAAAATGGGATACCGCACGTACGGTGTAGAAATCAATTATTTTCAGAAAAAGCAACTGATAAACTCAATTCTCCCAAAGTTAGGTCTATTAGCCTACATTTGGTTGGGTAAAGGTGGTTTATGGGGGTTTGGTGTGTTAAAGGCAGGTTGGTTAGTTTAGGTAGCTCGCTCAGGCGTAGGATTAAATTATTTCAGGAAATAACAAACGACTTAACTCGTGTTTCTTAGGGTTAGGAGGTTTAGCCTGCTTGTGTTTCAGTAAGGTTGGTTTATAAGGGTGGGGGTTAAATAAGTTAAGGGTAGGTGGATAAGAGGTATGTTATACAGCTGGGATAACTCGCTTATGGTGTAAAATTCAATAATTTCAAGAAATAACAAACGACTAAAGTTGCTTTTCACAGGATTAGATGGGTTAGCCTGCATGTGGTTCGGTAAGGGTGGTTTATGGGGGTTTGGTGGGTTAGAGGCAGGTTGGATAGTTGAGGTAGCTCGCTCATGCATAGGATTAAATTATTTCAAGAAATATAGCAAACGACTAAACTTGTTTATCCCAGGGTTAGGTGGATTAACCTGCTGATAGTTTGACGGGGTGGTTTCTAGGGGGTGAAACACCCCTTAAACATATTTTTTTTTAAATCCGGAAATACGTCAATTTAATTTTGGTATTTTCTCATTATCAGTGCGATTTTTAAATCACTCGAGCTGATTTACTGTATTACATGTCGTAAAACAGTACAAAAAATAGTGTATTTACCCCTATTATAAAGGGGGTTGCAACCCTTCGGTATAAATGTTATGTCCTTAAAAGCACCTTTTTATAAGAAATTATATTTTTATAAGATAACGTTATCACTACCGGTGAAGAAGCTATTGCCAAATCGCATGATAAGTGACTCTAAATTACCATAGCCTCTACTACTAACTAATATTTGTTTGAAATGCGTAACTAATATAAGAGATTTTCCACTGTTGTTTAAAGAGAGCCATACTTCAATCTGGAACTCAGGCATCATTTCTATAATTTTAAAAACTTTCGATCATGTAACAATTTTATAAAAAATAATAAATTGCACAATGAATTCAATTTTGCATGAAACATTATAAAATTATTTAACAATAAAAATAATGCTTATGATCTATAAAAGATGATTGTATTAATTAATGTCAAAGATCGATCCATTATGGATGTAAATAAACAAATTGAGTGCAGTATCATATTTGATGATTTATTGAAAACCATTTTGAACTCTTCATTTATATAAAAAATTGAATTTAAACTGTGAAATAGGTATTCTCCATCGACAAAAACATAGGAATAAGTTTTATTTTCATTCGGGAATAAATTTTCTATTGAAAATTTTGGAAAAATTACGTTGGAATTTTCAGCCTTAATAATTTGTTATATAAATATTACCCTCAGTGTGATATTTGCTACATAAATATTAGATATAAATTTTCAGATATCAAAATCCACCTTAAATTTAATGTTCTAAATAGTTTTACTGTAGTTATTTTTATCATTATTTGTGCTATTATTTACCCGCAAATAGGACAGGAGAGTTTGCTGTCAAGACTAGGTTCTAGCAGGCATCTTGCGCAGAAAGTGTGGTAACACATCAGCAGGCATGGATCACTGTAGTAGTCATGACACAAACCACAAATCAGAGGATTTCTGGGACCTCCGACTCCGGATATCCCTATGCCATTGTCGTCAATGTGTTCATTACTAATTATTTCAGCATCATGCGTACCTGAACTCGCCATCCTTAATTAATATATTTTCATTATTATTTAAAACTTGAAACTATTTGTGTCGACATAAAATTACATTCTATAGTGTAAAAATAGTTTTCTTTTATTTTATTACCATTCGCTTAAAATAAAAAGGACAATTAAAAAATACTTCGTATGACTAATGATGCGAAAAAGTAAAAGATTCTTGAGAATCTGAATCCTAAAATCCTTATTTATTAAAATGATTTTAATACAAAAGCAAAAAAATTTTATCACCTTGATTTGAACTATCGGAAGATTACCCCAATAACACAAAAACGTTTTAAAAACGTTTTAAAAACGTTTCAAAAACGTTTTCTGGATTGATGACTTTTAGTGAAAAAAACGTTATTAAAACGTTTTTAAAACATAATATATGTCCGCGAGTAATACGTTTTGAATACGTTTTACAAACGTTTTAAAAACGTTTTTTATAAAAATTTATACAATAGACCGGTATCACAATACGTTTTTAAAATATATTCCGATGCCGGCCTATTGTATAAATTTTTATAAAAAACGTTTTTAAAACGTTTTCAAAACGTATTATGATACCAGCCTACTGTATAAATTTTTCTGAAAAACAATTTAATAACGTTTTCAAAACGTTATCAAAACGTATTGTGTTATCAGCCTACTGTATATATTTTTTTGGGAAAACATTTTTAAAACGTTTTCAAAACATTTTCGAAGCGTTTTTAAATCGTTTTCAAAACGTATTCTAATAGTTCATTGTATACGTTTTTCTGGAAAACGTTTTAAAAACGTTTTTAAAACGTATTTTGATACCAGCCTATTGTATATATTTTTCTGAAAAACATTTTTAAAACGTTTTCAAAACGTTTTTAAAACGTATTCTGATAGCAGCCTATTATAGAAAATTTTCGATAAAACGTTGTGACACCTGTTATAAAACGTTTTTAAATCGTTTTTAAAATGTATTGTGATACCGGCCTATTGTATCAATTTTTATGAAAAACATTTTTAAAACGTTTTTGAAGCGTTTTCAAAACGTATTACTCGCAAAGATATATTACGTTTTAAAAACGTTTTTTTCATTAAAAGTCATCAACGTTTAAAAGTTTGTACTAATCGTGTATATTTACTTTAGGAAATTGCAAAAAATATCTTTTATAAATTATAAATTGTTAACGGCGATCGATGCAATAAGAGCGACTGAGAAAATAATCAGATGAGGGACAAAAAAGTAGATTAAAAATGACATGAAAATGAGGTGCTATTATAACATTGAGTGGTTGAAAGAGAGAGAGAGAGAGAGAGAGAGAGAGAGAGAGAGAGAGAGAGAGAGAGAGAGAGAGAAGTAGAAGAGACTAAGAAATTGGCATTTTGGTTTACAAATATGAGAAGCATACTAGGTAGCAAAAAAAATGGAAAAAGAAAGAAAAAGAATAAACGAGTAGATAATAAGATAAAAAGTGAAATATTGTGACATATACATGTGATATGCTTCTTTTCCGCAGTCTTTTAATTGAAGGTGCTCGTAGGTTAAATTATGATGCTTTTGATATAATCGACTAAAGCAAATAGAATATAATACTATTTACATTATGTAAGCTCCGACAATAATCTCTGCTGATAACTGCTCTATTACCTAGCGCAAGAAAGCTACATAATATTCATTGCGTTTTTTAAATTATAAGAATTGAATCATTTCCTATAAAATGTGTTTCCTATCACTCGTTGAAGTATTGATAAGCATCATACGTCATAAAATGAGCTCAGTTATTCAAAAATATTTAAGAGACTATTTGTTACATTATTATTATTAGAAAATGTATCGTTTGTGTACCTTCACAACTCAATCGTAAGTAACAATAATGTGCGCAGACGCAGTTCCTGTTACTAAATAGTGATATTGATATCGAATAGAACTACTTGAATAAACTCGTCAAGTTTTGTTATATATGTAATTTATGTTTATAAAATTTAGAGAATATGTAATGAAACAATTAAGATGTTTAAACGTTTTAAATTTAAAAAATAAGTTTATATTTTAAATATATTGGTCAGAAAACAAAAACTTGTTTTCTATTCTACAATGATAAATTGATAATTTTTTTCGCAATTCAAATAAGAAGAATATATAATTATTTATTGCGTCAATTATATTCATAAGTATATAAAAACGTATTTATGTACTGTAAAATAAAAAAATATTATAAGAAAAAGAATTCTTTTCTCGAATATGAATAAACGTAAAGGAAAAGTAATTTTTTAATTTTTTCTATAAAAAATAACTAGCGTATAACTCATAGAAATAATTTTGCTAAACTTATAACAAAGAACGCCACTTCGTTTGTATTATTAAAAATATCTTAAAACTCAATAACTGAAAACGAATTACAAATACAAAATTTATCATTGTACATCTACATCGTAGCCACTAATCCAATTTACAATCCGTTTATATGAAATTTCATCATAATTTATTATGATCTTTCCTTCAAATATTTTTTAATTGTATAATCCATCTCAGAAGGTTTAAAGTTCAAAAATAAAAAGTTTATGAAAATTCAATTGCTATAATATAAATGCACATTTAAAAAATGAATTTCCAAGTTCCGTAAATCTTTCTTTTATTAGTCTTATTTCTTGACTTTTTTTTATCAATTGTTCAGTTTTTTATCATAATCAAAAATATTTTCAATAGCCAATAAATATTAAGAGATTATCAAATCTGTAGAAGATATATTTTGATTAATCATTATTTATAATACTTTTAGCCAAAAATAAAAATATCTATATTCAGAGAAAATAATCTCGTAAACCTTTTTTAGTTTGGCCTATATCTAATAACATGACAATTGAAGTTTATTTGTAGAAAAAAATAACTCTTGAAAAAATCTGTCTACCGCAATTAAAAATTAACAATTAAAAAATAGAAGTTAAATTTTTTATTTGAGGAAAAAATTATATAAGAATTTTTATTAAATTAGAAAATGTGATAATATTATAATTTTCAGAAATACGAACAAAATAATATAATTATTGTCTTATAAAAAATGTATTAATAACTCAACAATTAAAGAAATAAAAATAAGCAAGTATAAATTTTAAACAAATATTTTTCCAGATATGATTTTGATCACAGTTTTTATTAGTATTTATTAAACCGCGAAAGATTATTTTTTTTCTATTTTTGCCATAAAGATTCGAAATGCTATAAGATGATGATATAAAAATAACTGATCTAGTTTACAATTAGCGAAAAAATGTCATTGGATTTATAAATTTAAAGATTGAATTTGTCTTTCATTGCAGGTAGAATTTGTCGACGTATTTTTTTTCGTTGGTTTGATGTATTTTTTTGACAGTAAGTATATTTTTTTTTCGTTTTGATTCGGCTTTTCCAGAGTTATGACAGGCGAAAGAAATACGGCTCTGAAGAAATATGAAACCACTTGTACAACGTATGCAGTATATACCCTTCTCAAAACGTTATTTTTGGAATAAATATTCAATATGATGTTAATGGCTATTTAAAAAAATTATTGGTACTTAACACAATAATCAATTAACTAAAATCATTATGCGATGGCTCAAATTGTAACTTTTTAATTCCCTAGAACTTTTATTTGAAACTTTTTCATAAAAGATTAATGCCTTGGCTTGCAGAATCAATAAAGGTATTTTTGCCAACTTTGATCTTTCATATTTTTTAAATTTAGTGTAGCTCGACATAATATTAAGTATTACATAATCCATTTTCGTGTAAATACCCTGGCAAATAGTAGGCGACCGAAAACGGTCGCCGGTGGTCGCCGATAGATCGCCGCCCTATCGGCGATTTTTAAAAAAATCCAGTTGGAAATCCAGGTTGGATTTCATATAGATATCCAGCCTGAAAATCCATATGGAATCCAGATGAATTTTTTCTTGCAAAAATCCAGCTGGAAATCCAGTGTGGATTTGAAGCTGAATATCTAGTTGTATTTAGGAGAAAATTTTCACGCAATAAGTGACTAAATTGAATGAAGGTATTTTTTATAGCAACCAAATTAATGCTCTATTTGAAGACAAAAATTTTATGACACAAATGACTGCTAAGCCACATGCAAAGTTTCAAAACTGTGTGTGAAAACTTCTTAGAAAATAAAAAGAGTAAGAACTATAATAAACTTGTCCAAGAAATGTTAAATAATTTTCTAAATTTAGGTTACTTGATGAGCTATAAAATGCATTTCTTACATTCTCATCTTGATTATATCCATTCTAATCTTGGAGATTTCAGTGAAGAACAAGAAGAATGATTCTATCACGATCTAAATGTAACAAAGAATCGATACCAAGGAAAATGGGAGGTTATTATGATGGGAGACTTTTGCTGGATGCTGAAAAGAGACACTGTGAGAAACAACAGAAAAAGAAAAAGGAATTCTTTGCACAGACCATTTGAAGAAAAGAGAGTTCGATATAAGAGGAAAATAGAGTAGAGCAGAATCGGCGACATAGAAAAAAAGGAGAAAAAAATTTAAAAAAAAACCAAAATCATATTTAGAAAAGAGAAAGAAATTCTTGAATGCCATAAATTACGTTTTTTCTTTTCTCACAATATTTTTATTTTTTAAGTGGTTTTACAAGATTTTGATATTTTTTCATAGTTGTGGAGATATAAAAGTCAAATATTCATCATATCTCATTTTAGATACTTAAATTTTACATAAATCATACATAAGACACTCACAAAAAATATAATGCGACTAAGTTATGCTCTTAAATGCAAATTTTCACGATTTTTCGTGATTTTTCACGATTTTTCGCGATTTAAAAAAAATGTAGATGAGGTGAGTGTTAATCTAATAATTCATATTTTTAACGTAATAAATAAATTAACTTTGCATATTAAAATTCATTATTATTTAATAATTAAACGCAATTCGTATTACTATATTCTAAATTTACGTACTAATATCTATATAAGAAATACTTTGTTATATCAAAATTAACATATTTTTTTCAAATAACAAAAATCATTAAATCTATATCTATTACTTTGTGACGTCACGCTCCTTATTTGGTTATGAAATTATACTCTTGTACTAAGACAATTGAATGATCGGTGAGGTGGCGCCGTTTAATGTGCTGATTTGTGTAAACAGATAGATGCGTTAACAGACGGGTTGCGGTGATTCAGTGACATAATAAACTAGCTCATAGATAGGACCGTTACAACTTGATGTAGCATTTGCACATAAAAAAATTATTTTTGGGGTAGAGAGCTACCTTAAAATGGAACACCCGGTATGTACATAAATAATTATTGGCTGTACTTTTGACAAGCATAACATATATCTATGTACTTTGATGTGCTTGATTCGAATGTGAAGTTTCTTTTCCTCGCAGACGCCAAAAAATCGATTACAATTAAAAATACGCTGCCACGTAACCTGGTGGAATTCATCATTGGAGATTTGAGATATAATTATTTTTCCATTTGATACTATTGGATATTGTATCGCAATGATTTTTGTTGCTAAAAGTGAAATATACGTAAGTATAAGTTATTACTGCTGTCATAGGCCAACAGCTTTCATATTCAAACCCGTGGTAACCGTAATCTAATAAAAAATTATATGATGAGAATGAGTTATTTTTAAGCTACAACTTTTTTAAAGAGACTGTGACTGCGGGCTGTATGATTTCAAATTTTAAATGAAGGGAATAATTTGTTCTTAGTATTAAGACCGACAACGGAGTTAATACCGTTTCCCATGAGCTGTGGAAACCGACTCAAGTATCGCAGAGAAATTTTCCTTGACTGTCTCCAAACGGCAATAAAAATCTATAGCCCAAATTCATGTAAGCGTGCATTCCTTTTTTTATTACGCTCTTCCACCCCCCGCACCCTCGCACGTGCATACAAAGTGCATGCAGCCTTCGAACACGTGGGCGCCGAGATGCCGATAAAAGAAGAGGGCCATAAAATCGTGTTTGTATCCTGTTCCCATCATGACTAACGAATTTTTTCCTTTCAAGCTAGAAGTTAAGCATTAGAAATTATGATATAATATTTTTTTTTGAATTTGAATTTTTAACTTCAGTAATATGTTAGAAATAATTTTGGCTTCTCAAAACCTCTTATCGAGTTTTCGCTCCGGAGCTTAGTTTTAAGCAGAAAATAGAAAAATATACGTTAATTTTAATGAATTCAATGTTACTTAATGAACTTTTATTATAAGAAATTAATCTACACAGCGTAGCGTGCGAGATAATAAGCATCACTCTATTTTTTATCAATTTTTATTATTACATAATTATTAATAACTATATTTTGCGGCGAATTTAATTATAATATTGATTATTAGTATTAATTAGTGTATAAGCTATGTATGGTCGATTTAATTTATTCTGACTTCGGTTATTTAATAATTACAAAATTTTGAACAAATCTTGGTTGCGAATGATACTCGAGGAGCCATCTCACGAGCTAAGGCCTGTACCCTTGCGTCCGCACCCTCGATTTATTCCACGCCCCCGCTCCAATCAGGGCCCGAAAATCCAGCGAGGAAAATCAGAAGAGACAAACGGGCCAATTAACGCATCATTGCCTACTCCACTTCTCCCGAAACCGAGAGGCTAAGAGAGAGACTCACCACCCAACCACCCACCTGATATAAAAAGAGTTGTACAAGACCGAAAGAGCAGTGAGTGTGAGAGAAATTGAGTACCAGTGAGTGAGTGCTGAAGGAAGCACAAGGATCAGTTAACCAAGGAGTTAAGCAACAAAGCAGTCAAGAAGCCAAACAGACCAAGAAAAACGAATCAAGCCAAGCAACCAGTTCGGAACTAAGTGCGCCTGTACTGAAAACTCGAAACATTTAATAA